AGTGTTATTGGTGTGCAGCGTTGCTTTGTGTTGGAGAATGTAATCTGTGTCAGCGGGTCGTCCACTAATCGGAAGGTTCGATCCCGGCTCCTCCCGCTGCATGTCAAAGTATCCTTGAGCAAGATACTGAACCCCAAATTGCTCCCTGCTGTGAATGCTTTGTGAATGCTTTGTGAATGTGGCACGTAGTGTAAAAGCACTTTGAGTGGTCGGGAGACTAGAAAGGTCCATTTACCATTACCATTTACCATTTTGACTCATCCATAGCAGGAAACCAGGGATGCTTGCCTGGTCACACACAATCTCGTATTTCAGATAAACAGTACACTGAAATATGTTTCTGAAAGGATTTTAGTTGAGAAATAGTCAGTGCAATAACAGAATCAGTAGTTTCCAACCCTTATGTCATTTAGTAATCTGCCAACTCCTAGGTGATATATTTTATGGATATTGCATATATATTCAAAACTGTATTATTAACCCAAATAGGGAACTCTGTAACAACAAAAAGTTTAAGACGAGTCATTTGTGTACATTTTGAGCAGATTACTCTGTTTCTCTGTTTTTTTCATAATTTTTAACAATCACACATAGTTAATAGGCTTATTTTTTTGTTTTTTTTGTTTCTTGATTTGAACACCTTCTTATCTCAGGCCCCTCTCTGCCTTCAGGCCTGTCAAGGTAGAGACCCTGCTGCTGTAGCCAGGAATCATCTAGAGTCTTAAGGTCTCAAAGATACAGTCTGTGTGTCTTTGCGGTGTCCTCCGTGTCGTGGGTGATGGTCAGCTGGTGACTGGGGTTTCCCGGCCCCTGTGGTCAATGGCTGTGAGCAGAGGGGGTGTTGCCTTTTGGGTGGGTTGTGTCCGAAGCCATGGCAGAAGGCAACCCATCAAAAACCAGAGCTGGAGTCTCAGTCAGGTAATCGTCTCTCTCATTACACATTTTGTTGTTATCTTTCAGGCCCGAGGGATTCTTGCAAACACCATTAGGAGCACTAGGAGGAGCCAGAGGAACCTGATTTTTCACAAATTATCTGTGGATATACTTTCACTATACGTGATATAGTGAAAGTTTCAGCAAATATGACACAAAATATTTTTATAAAAATTACCCATATCAGCTTTAACCAAATATTTATAAAGAGTGATTTGGCTGCTTGGCAGTGGGAGAATGTTCTCCCAGAAGATCACCAGCTTTTTTTTACTTTGAATTGACGCCATGAAACAGAGAAGCTTGGTGTTTTACTTGAAATACTTATATTATATATATAATATATATTGCAGAAACACATTTTACACTTGTTGTTGATGTTTTAAAACAATGTATAGACAAGATTACAAATACAACTACGTGTGTTAAAACTAGAACCCAACCCATACTGGATTTTTGAGGCAGATATCGACACTGGCAGAATGTGATATTGGTTATTATTGTTAACCGCCCTGTAATGAAGTGTGTACTGTATGTAATAATCTTATCGAGTCCTTATTGCTCCTTCAGGCGGTTGACTGGCGGTGGATCCGTCAGACACGCCCCCTGAGCAGTGCATCATGGGCCCTGGCACCCCCCAACAGCCTGAGATATCAGAATGTTAAGCAACCAGTGCTGTCCCACCCGTTCCACCATGCCAGCCAGCCTCACAGAGGAGGTTACCAACAGGAGGACTGGGAGGAGTCTCTCAGTGTGTGTGTGCTGGTGCGACAGGACGAATCAGATGGCCTCCACACCCTGCTGGAGATTCCTCTGTCCAGCCACAGTAAACTAGGAGAGCTCCTCACTCTGGGTCCTCACAAGTCCTCTGAGTTCTCCTTCCCGTTGACCACTGTGGACGGCAGCAGAGAGGATGACATCAGCGTTGACAGCTGCAAGAAGAACACTGGTGATGCTGGGAAGAGGGAACATGGCTGTTTCAGAAGCCTGTTTGAAGCAGAGAGGTGCCCCGCACCGTTCATGTACGGCTCTCACTTTTATTGTTTTCATTGCCCGGGCACAGAGCCGGTACCTGGCAGTGGGCTGAAATCTAGGCAGGATATTGGACTTAACAGCAAGCCTGTGGAGCTGCCTGTGCTGCATCCAATCTCTCTGTGTAGCTATGCAGAGAGAGCAGGGAGGGGGCACACTGAAGGAGACAATGAAGGGGAGGAGAAAGTGGCCATGATGTATGAAAGACTGAGGATAGAGGTGAGAACATTGTTGCACATTGTCTGGATCAGTGAAGTAAAGTTGCACAGGGTCATTTACTGCTGTAATATGTTCTCAGTGAAGAGCACATAACAAAACTATGGTAGATTCTGTTTTGTAACTTAACAGGTACTTAAATGTTTTCCATCAATTCCAATTTCTGTATGAATCTGATTTGTAAGGGCATTGCATTGTAGGACAGAGCATTTGGCCCACTATTAACTTTTTTTTTCATATTTGGGAGACTGTAACTTTATGAGGAATAAAATGTTAATGTTGTAGAAGTTCTACTTTTCATTCTAGAAATCTCAGATGCTTTTAACAGTGGCACTAACAGTCAGTTGTAGGACCGTATGATTCAGTTTAAATCAACACTATATAAAATCTGGTATTTGTTGTGATTTGGCGTCCCCACTTTAGTAAATATGGACAGCTGTAATTTGTTAGGATTCCATTACTTATAATCAAAAACTAGCTAGTTGACAACTCTGCTAACACAGCCAAACATCAAGTAAGTGCAACAACACAAGACATAGCAAGCTGAATAGTCCAACAGCAAGAAGGCCAGCTCATCGTCTGTCTGTAGCCTTTTATTTTACTAAGCTCTCTTTAGCCAACCACTAAAACTCTTTTCTGGAGGCCTTTTGCTCGGTCACTCTTTTTTTGTTCTTCTGAACTTCCTCTGTCCTCTTTGGTCTCTCTGTGTTGTTACCTTAGAATGAGTCGTTTTTATCTATAGTTAGTGGGTCCTTTTAGTATTAGCGGTTCTCCATGTTTCTACAGTAGTCCAGAACAAACACTGGCTCTAGATAAAGCTCTTGACTTTTTCTGCGAGTTTTGTGGCTGCTGTAGTTTCTCCTACTCTCTTGGACAGTGAGCTGTATTCAGTTGGTTGCAATCTGCAACTTCACTGCTAGATGCCATTAAATCCTACACAGTGTACCTTTTTAAACCATCAGAAATGATTAATGTGATTATAATAGCAAAGAAAAGCAGTCGTCATTGATCTATAAATGAATGAGTGATATTTACAATCTGTTGTCCACAGCTGCTTTATACTGTATGAAAAGCTTCTTCTCTAGTTCATTGAATCCCTGCAGCCATGTATTAGCAGCTGAATAAATCTGTGCATAATAATAATAATAATATTAAACCTGATTCATCAACAACATAGGGACATAGGGAGGGCTCAGTGGAACAGCCATGCCGTGTATGGTCGTGCAAGTTTTTCACAGTCCTGGTTAGCAGTCCTTTTTTGCTAATCCCGACTGGGCCATTGCTGGACCATTTTTCATCTTGGTTAGGTTTCCCCTCACCTCAGCTGACTTCGAATTGTCCCAATCCACATTTGACCGAGAGTTACATAGCTCTTGGAAGTTGCCACGACATGCTTTGTAGTTCTGGTCAATAGGTAGTGCACATTCTGCAGTTTTGGCACTTTGTCAACACAAACTGATCATTTAGACTGTATTTGTGCTTGCAGTACTGAACTAGTAAGTCATTCTAAAGCTATACTTCAATATGAGGGAATATATCAAACTTTTTTTATTTTGTTTTGCAGCTTCCAAATTTCTTCATGAAGAGCCATGATTACAGCATGTACTCACATGATATGGAGTTCATCAACGGCCTCATTAATACCAAGACGAGGTGATCAGTTTGGGCTAATGGCAATACATTATTGCAGACAACTGTCTTGTGTCACTTTCTGTGAGACCTGACGGTTGCTGTTTGTGTGTAGGGGCCGCGTGCTGTACCAGCTCACCCTCTCCCTGTGGCGCCTCCTGTGTCTGTGTTACTACGCCAAGGTTCGGCTGGAGGTGCTGAAGCTCACCAAACACATGGAGGATGGGACCATTAAGGCTCGTTGGAGGATCAGGGGCCTTCCCTTCTTCTCTCTGCTGCTGCGCTTCTACCGCAAAGACAAATCTCATCTGTACAGGTAATGCACAGTACATCCAATTTTAATTAAAAGCCTTTGAAGAATAAGAGGATTTACTTTTCATATTTAGATTATCTGTCTCGTGTACTACTTCAGGATATAGTGAAAGTGTCAGCAAATAAGTTACCTACTGCAGCTTTAACGTCCGCTGCGGAAATTATTTTTTCCCTCCACTACACACATAGGTCCAAATGATTGAATATGCAGTACATGGAATTTTTGATTTTAGGTATAAAATATTTTTTTAAGAGTGAAGGTTTTGTCACAATGATTTAAATAATAAATCCATATGTCATCTGTTGCAGGGCATATGATGCATTCTCTACTTTTTACATTGGACCGGACGGACTCATTCACTGTCATAAAGTTGAAAAGGTAAGCCACTCCTAATGGAATCTACTGCACCTGAAAGAAAACAACCAATCAGAGCCAAGAAAGATAGTTGATTGTTCATTGCTGATTTCACAAGACTCAACAATCAACAATTTTCAAGCCACCAACCCAAAGCGTCTTTCTATCTTTCTCAGCTCTGATTGTTTGTTATTGTTCAGGCCCAGTGGATTCTTGTAAATATCATTAGCCCTAGGAGGATTTTTTCACAAATTATCTGTCTCATGTTTTACTGTCAGGAT